CCAACAAATTTCTGGTATGGTGGAAGATTCAGAGACGTGATCTTGTCTGAGAGGTGGAGCTTTCTTCAGCATTTGCACAAGCGCACCAACTGCAGCATCTTGTGACTTTTTTGGCAAGGACCCGCTTGTCTCGACTGGTTCATGTATATCTCCTCTCTGGTCGAAGGATCCCGGTCTAAAATAAGGCAGTGAAACAAGATCAGTTTCTACTGGACAAACATATAAGCAGTGCCAAAACAACAGTCAAGAACTAGAGAAGGAAACCATTTCAAGTGATTATATATGACTTATAAACCAGATAGATAAGACATGATATTAGTGAGAATGAAGCGTTACGATTTCTTTGGTTGATCTACCACAAATTTGTAACAATTAAACAGTTTCTATCTTCTATGCATAACATCAGTAAAAGAATAAGACAAAATCAATGGAAGCTCCATGGATAACGAAGCATTACAGCAAATCAAATGGGTCTAATGGCTGCTTACTTTAAAAGCTCAAAGTGAGAAAGTACATGAACAAGCTTCTTAAGTCACATTGACTAAGTAAATAGGCCGGGTTTAACCAATTACTACTTTAAAGCCTACAATGAAAGCCAGAAGCAATACAAAGACTGTATGTTTTTGGTTGCAGATAAAGTGGAAAAGACACAGTGAGATTTGTAAGTTTTTAAGACCATACCTGCTACTAGGATCTGTAATCTCATCATACTCAACATCAAATGGGCAAGGGAAATCAGTATCATCAAAATCGTCTTGGAAAGATCTACTGGAACTCCGAGAAAATGATATACGCGGTGAGCTGTTGGAAGATAGCCTCACCCCTGAATTCCTCCTAAAGTCTTCTCTCCCATAAAGAAACAGCTAGAACAAAAGAAAAAAAGTATTTTACTCGTTCAATCACATGATGAAAAAACAGACATAAAAGGTAAGACATGTTGAGTTAGTTTACCTTTTCCAATGCTGCTCCAGGTTCAACAAGACCAGAGTTTCTCACAGGCTTTAAAGAACCGTGTCTTGACAATTTTAAATGAGGAGAAGGTGCCACCACATTTTGTTTGGACTGGAAACTAGGAGCCGGGATTCTGACTGGAGCACTTTCAGTACGTGTGATGCCTCTAGAGATGGCGTGTATAGGTGCTGAAGGAGAACAAGGAGGGGAGAAATCTTGAGAAGGATAATACTCTTCGACGTAGCTTTCCTTCCTACGACCAGTGGGTATATCAGAGGGATGAGGAGGAAGGCGACGGGAACAAGGATTTGAAACCAATGCATGAGAATCTGAGTGTGTAGGCGATGGTGAACAAGAAACTGAAGGTGGAGAGGCTTTAAAACGATCGAAACTCCAACTATGGCGCCTTTGAAATGGCAGCAATGGAGGTGAGCCATATGAAAGAGGAAGAGAAGGGAACCTTTTTAACGGATCAGCCAAGGGACTTCCAACATAATCGGTTATAAACGTTGGAGACATAGGAGTTGAGTGTTCGCAACTGACATCTGAGTGAGAACGATATAACACCGACAAGCAAAGTCTACCACAGATAGTCTCAACCGGTGTGAAAGAAAACTTCTGCATTTCCGCCTCTTCTCTACGAGTGAATGGCTCAACAATAGAAGGGACCCTAGTAACAAGCTTGAACTTGCAGATCTGCCCAGACGAATTGAGTTCCCGGTAAATCTTATAAGCAGGTAAAAGCCTAACCATCACAAACAATGATCTCAGCAGCAAAGTTGCTTTCTTATACATCACTTGCAACTTATTATTGCTTGACCTCCTACTGCTAGTACTAGTAGCACTTTCCCTGATCTTCCTATTGTCATACTGCACCACCCATCTCTCAATTATCTGCTCGTTCTTACTTTCACATCCCGATTCATCTTGATCAGAATTCCAACCCGACTGATACTCTTTCCCAGAAAAATTCCTTATAAGCTCCCTACCTGACAAGTTCATCTGATCAAGCGGCCTTGCCACAAGAACCACATCAACAACCAAAGGCTCAAGACTGCTTCTACGTCCTATATCGAAATTCTCTAAAGCTGCAGGACATTCTCTGAGAGCTAGATTGAACCATTTGTCACGAGGCCTCACACTCGAGGAAGAGGAAGAAGATGAGGAAGGAGAACATATCATCTGCTCACCACTAAAATTCCTTGAAGACATAAACGGAGTCCTCGATTCGAGAATTATGTGAAGACTTTTAGCAAAGAACTCGAATATAATCTGTTCTGCTTTAGCACCTTCAGAATTGCTACTCTTGTTATGTAAAGATGACATCTTTTTTACTTTATAATCACAAACAGAGCCAATCAATTGAGTAAACTGTTCCTGAGGAATCAAAAATGAAACAAAGATTCATTCAAAATCGATAAACCTTAGTGATTTTTCCGCAAATATGATCAAATCAAACAAAAATCTCAAGTAAAAAACCCAGAAATTTCGAGGGTTAAACCCAGAATCATCTATATAGTTCTCGATGATCAAAATCCGTCTTAAAGAAACAAACATCAAGAGTAAAGAAAAGAAGCATAAACCCAGAACAGAGTAAACAAGCATCATTAGATTCATTACCTTATCGAGTCACCACCACCGACTTGTTCCTTTGTCTATGTCGTTACTTTTAA